GGAAGACCAAATAACTCTCAGATTTGTACACTGGCCAGAAAGGCAAAGCAAAGCACCTGCAGGAAGGTTTAGCTGACACAGGAATGGTGCACTATTTTACTATGCAGCATTGCTTGCACAAACGTTATCTGCACTGAAGAGTCATATAAAGAAAACCTGTGTAGTCATTTGTAAGCAAATGTGACTGTCATTCAATAAATTAAAGCTAAAAAAAATCCAAAACATCCCACTACCATAAGAAACGCAAGCTGAAGCTTTCAAAATGGTCCTAACCATCCTTGGATATGAACATCATAGAAAATCTGTGGGTAGATCTTGAATATTGTGCATGCAAGGCGGCCCAAAAAATCACAGAACTAAAAGCTTTCTGCAAGGAAGAGAGGGTGAAAATTTCTAAAATGACAAAAAACTGATTTTTTTCACTCAGTGGTTTGAGGTAAAATGGTTGGAGATATTTACACGTACCACTACACCATGATTGCTTGTATATAAAAAGGCAGTACAGAAATGCGATCAAAATGTGCAACACCATCAAGCATGAAACAGTGTATGTAACCATTTTGTGTAACAGCTTTCTGCAAAGAAGCAGAATTTTCTAGGTTTTGTAGCTGCACATGCTGCATTACCACAAAATAAGCACTGATGCAATTAGGATTGCTTGAATTTAGGTTGTGGAGCCACTGGAGAGCAGCGAGTTGTTAGAATGCTAGGTGAAGCATGAAGCAGAGTGATGGAGAAGTCTTGGAGTAAGACATGACAAGAAAGAGGGTGGATCATTAGAATCAGGAATAATGTACACCAAAATAGAGGTATCAACAAAACAAAGTCATTGCAAAAGGAAAAGCTGTGACTTGTTCCGCATATTCCTGAACATTTCACAAATGATGCTCACCATCAGAGTCCCTGTTCCCTGTCAGCGTGGTGGCAGTGCCTGCTAAATATGATATTTCAGCAGATGTAAATTTTTCATTCTACAACAACAATACAAGCGCTCCCTCACACTACATGAGTTTGATAGATGCTGTTTTATTTATTGCTTTTGGGAACATTTCAAAGGACAAAGCATGCCGTAGGTAAGTGGGCCCTCAGCAGCGTCGTCTGTGGGCGGTGGATTGAGCGTTTCCCTTGAGCTGCTGAACATGTTATGTTCTCCTACTTATGGTGGCAATGCCATTTCCAGTCTCTCCAACAACAGAGAGTAAATTTAGAACAGTGATAACCACCCTGAGTCTTATGTTGATTCTGATTCAAACTTTCTATTCAGTTTTGTTCCATTTAATTCTACCCTCCCCATTATATTCAAATATATTGCATTCAACTTTACACAGAAATAAAGGTTCTGTGCAGGTACGTTTTTTGTTCATCAAGGCACAAACAATGTAAATGTATCCTCAAAGGTACAACGCTGGTTTTAAGATGTAATTTTGTACTTTAAATAAGGTTTTCCCATTGGAAATGTACAATAAAATAAAGAGCCCAGAGAGGAGATTGTGTGTGCAGTCAATAACTATAATTTCAATGGTCTTTAAATGATTCTATTCTGTTACACTGTATTCCAGTGTGCTGCACCATTTCTCATTTCATTCTACTTTGTTCTATTCTGTTCTATTCCATTCTATACTGTTCTGTCTGACCATTAATGAACAGGGTGAAAAGGGGCTAACAATGTATGCAGAGAAACAGATGGACTGCCGTCTGTAATTGTAGAACTACAGTGTGCACCTATATTATAAATGGACCTGATAAAATGGACAAAGAGTGCAGAAAAAGGTAGGTGTACTTAATGAAGTGGCCAGTTGGTGTATATAATGAGCCATATACATTATCAGAAGAGCACGTTATGAGCACAGCGCAATCAAGCTTAAAGGACCCCACATCCAGTGTTTATTTGACGCCACTGTCAATACCATCCCATAATGAGCGTCAGTATGGTAATGAAAAAGGCCTATAGCAGTGCCTCTGTCCTTTTTTTTCTGGAGGCACTAAAGCCCTACAGGAGAGAAAGACTGTTTCATGACTTTCTGTTTTACTCTATTCTGTACTATTCCATTCCATTACACTCTTATTTACTCTTTTCTCTTCTGTTCCACTCCATGTCATTCTGTGCCTCTCTATTATGTCCCTTTTTAGTTTATTCTGGTTTGCTCTGCTCTAATCTATTCTATTCCATTACATTCTACTCTATTGTAGTCTCTATTCTATTCTGTTCTGCTCAGTTCCAGTCCATTCTACACTAGTATTCTCTGCTGTGATACTGATCTAATTTATTCCATGTCATTCCTTTCCATTCTGTTGAACTTTATTGTATTGTTCCATTCTTTTCTGTTATTCCTCTACATTCACCTCTACTGTTTCATTCTGCTCTACTACTCTAAATTCTATTGTGTTCTATTCCACGCCACTTTACACTTTGCTTTGCTCTACTCTATTCTAGTCCTTTCTATTCCATTCTACCCTGTGCTATTTCGTTCTACTCTAGCCTATTTTCCTTTGCTCTACTCTGTTCATCTATATCATTCCATTTCTTCTATTACATTGCATTCTGCTCAATTTTATTTTATACTTTACTATTTAATACATTCTATTTTAATCTATTTAATTCAATTCCATTCTACACTAATCTGCTGTTCCATTTCATTCCTTTCCATTCTATTCTACGTTTGTATTAGTTCAGTTCAAGTTTGCTTTATTGACATGACAAATTTACATTTGTATTGTCAAAGCACTACAAAAATAATCTATATATTGAAAGTTAATTTAAAAAAAAATACAAAATCAAGATTAATATAAGACAAGGCAACAATTAAAGGGAGAAAGTGTTATCAATTAATAATATAAAAATATATGCAATAACAAAACAAAACCTATTTAATATGTGTATGCAGCATATAACAGAAAAAAGAAGAAAAAGGTTAATTATCAAATATATTTATGTGATTAAGAAGGACAAAAAGAAAAGAAAAGGAAAAAAGGGACATCTATATCACATATATACATATAACAGTAAGTAAAAGAAAAGGCTGTGGTTTGGTGGTCACTCACTGTCCCAGAGTGAATGACATTCCTACCTCCTATATCTTGCTGCAGTGGACACTGATGGACCCTTTCCTAATATAATTACTAATTTATCTTTATCTTTATTTAACGTCCTTAAAGTTATTTATCCATTTTTCTAATTGATTAAAATATTTATTACTAATGGACTCATATTTTGAGCAGTTTAGTAGGAAGTGCACCTTTGTCTCTACCTCACCTGTCCTGCAGTGACCACACACTCTCTCCTCTCTTCCTAGCCAGGACTTTTTAAACCTGCCTCTCTCGATGGCCAGGCTGTGGTCACTGAGTCTGTATTTGGTGAGGATCTGTCTCTGCTTCATATCTTGGACAATACCAAGATATTCAGCCAATCTGTATTCCTGATTTAGGGCCAGAAATCAGTTCATTCTGTTTTGTGATTGAATTTGGTGTTTCCAGTGTTACAAGTAGGCATTTGTGCTTTGTTTAATAATTTGGTTCACTCTGATTATTAATCTGTATTATTTCATTCATTTCCACTACTTTACTCCAGATCATTCTGCACTGCTCTTTTCTGTCTATGCAGTCTATTCTACTCTAGCTATTCCATTTCATTCCTTTCCACTTCAGCGCATTCCATAGTACCCTATTCTGTTCCACTCTGTTTGATTCAGTTTTGCTCTGCTCTACTACATTCTATTTCCATAGAATGGAGCTGAAATTTACTACTACACTGACCAACAACTTCATCAAGTACATCTCCTTGTTTCTACACTTTGTCCATTTTACCAGCTCCACTTAGCATATAGATGCGCTTCAGTTCTACAGTTTCAGACTGTAATCTGTTTTCCTGCATGCTTTGTTAGCCCATTTTTACTCTGCTCTTCAATGGTCAGGACCCCCACAGGACCACCATAGAGCAGGTATCATTTGGGTGGTGGATCATTCTCTGCACTGCAGTGACACTGACATGGTGGCATGTTTGCATGTATTGGACCGGTACGAGTGGATCAGACAGCGGTGCTGCTGGAGTTTTTAAACATCTCAGTGTCACTGCTGGACTGAGAATAGTCCACCAACCAAAATATCCAGCCAACAGCGTCCTGTGACCACTGATAAAGGACTAGAGAATGACCAATACAAACTGAGCAACAACAGATGAGCTACTGTCTCTGACTTTACATCTACAATGTGGACCAACAAGGTATGTCTAATAGAGTGGACAGTGCGTGGACTCAGTGTTTAAAATCTCCAGCAGCACTGCTGTGTCTGATCCACTCGTACCAGCGCAACACACCCTAACACACCATTATGTCAGTGTCACTGCAGTGCTGAGAATGATCCACCACACAAATAATACCTGCTCTGTGGTGGTCCTGACCATTGAAGAACATGGTAAAGGGGGGCTAGTAAAGTATACAGAGAAACAGATGGACTACAGTCTGTATTTGTAGAACTACGAGGTGCATCTATACGGTAAATGGAGCTGGAAAAATGGACAATGTGTACTTAATGAAGTGGCTGGTCAGAGTATATAATGAGCCCAGCGCGATCAAGATTATAGGACACCACGGCCAGTGTTTATTCGACCCCAGTGTCAATACAATCTCATAATAAGCGTCAGTAATGTAATGAAAAAGGCCAATAGCAGTGCATTAGTGCTGGCACTGTAGCCCAACAGGAGAGAAAGAGCATTACACCCTCCAACGGCTCCTCAGCACTGCTCTCCCATCTCTCTCTCTCTCTCTCCTCCGTCTCCACTGTTTGTTTCTCAAACCCACAACGGATGGTGGTCGAGCAGCGCGTGCGGTGGGGCGCTCCACGACATCAGCACGGCATCGAGCTCGCTCTGCGCTCGGACTCCGCCATGTCCGCGTGCGAGACGCGCGAGAGCTTCTGAGCGTCACTCTCGCGCCCCTTTTTCCCCTCCTGCTGCAGCCTGCGAAGAGCCCCGTCCGGGGTTATACCCCCCAACCGACGAGAAGATGGCCGCCATGAAGATGCTCACAGGCGCGGGGCTCTTCCTGGCGTTCTGCGCGCTCTGCTTGCTGGCCATGGCCATCTGCACCGACTACTGGTACGAGACGGACGCCCGGCGCCACCGGGAGCGCTGCAAGAACTACGCGAGCAAGCGCAACGACCCGGGCTTCATCTACATCTCCAGTCACAACCTGCCTCTCCGGATGCCTCCGGACGGCGTCGGGACGCAGGACGCAGGGCCAGGCGCCCGAGCGCTGCTGCTGCCTCGAGAAAAGCGGCACCTCACGGCCGCAGCGTCGTCCATGGAATCTCACTGCAGCCGCCAGTTCAATTCAACCGTCTCCGGACTGTGGAGGAAGTGCCACCGCGAGGGCTTCGACCTGGAGACGGATGATCTCATATACAAAGGTGAGGTGTTTGTGTTTGGGCCGTTTTGGTCCACTGGCTACAGCTACACTCTTCAAAACTGAGGGTTCTTCAGAACCAGGCCATAGCAGAACCACTTTAAGGGGGTGGGTCAGGTTGAGGAACCTTTGAATGACGTGCTTTTAGTAGAGGAACATCCTTTAAAAGGTTTTTTAAGGATTCAAAAGTGATTCATCTATGGCATTGCTCTGAAGAACCCTTTTTGGCACCAGGAGTGTACAGCAGCCTGCTTCCTGTGGCCAGCCACAAACATTTTTTGTATTAAAGGTTCCATGTCCTTTTTCAATTTTTTCCCCACTATGTAAGTATGGTCTATGGTCTATGTACCAAAACAGTCCCAACTACTGTAATTTTTACATTGCTACCAGCCTTTAGAATTAAACCGGCTGTTTTGGTTACTGTGCCTTTAAGACTGGTTCCATATCCTACATTTTTATTGTATTTTTTCTGTTTGTTTGTTTTCTTAAGATCCACTTTTGACATGTAAGAGGGTCTATGTACCAAAACAGTCCCAATTAATGTTATTTTTTACATGACTACTTACCAGCCTCTAGAACTAAACAGGCTGTTTTTGTTACTGTGCCTTTATGACTGATGTATGTAAATGTATGTATGTAAAAGCATTCTTGTTGTAAAATGAGTGTGCTGAACTGCTGTAGACAGATTGCTGTAAATGTATTGGTTTTTGTGACATCAAATAATAATTCATTCACATGCACTGTATGTTCTGGGGAGTGAATGGTTCGTTTTGAAACTTTCACAATGTTTACAAACAACATTGAATTCTTTTATTAAAAAAATGGAGACAATTTTAATTTTCCTTGATATGGGCCCTTGAAAGCTAAACAGCAGGACCTATGTTTTGGACATGTCCTGCACTTCTGCTTCTACAGCCTGTGAGCATGTTCGAGCAGGCGTAGGCGTCTCACTCATCTCGCTAATTCATAGCCTAGTTTACCCCACATCTCAGTTAGCATATAGTCCAACCCACAAGCTCTATTAAGGTCATGTTTTATTCATTTGATATAAATACATAAATGTCTGGCCAACAGAGTCAGTGGCACATTGCAGTAGACTTGCCATTCCGCCGTCCTTGATTTTGAACCATCATGGGCAACTCCGCTTGCAATATCGCTTCTTCGATCGTGTCAAGTGCTTGGCATCTGTTAGGAATCCATGAGATAATGAATTATAATGGGGTAATGGCTCACACGTCTCAAGAGGGGGAAGAGAAAGAAGAACTAAGAATGAATATTTTATAAGCACACCAGGACACAGGGAGGCCACACAGGAAAATCACAGTGCACCGACCTGGAGATGCTGAGGAAAGATGTTAGAATCATGCCTTAAAGCACCCACATCATGGAAATCTGAATTCCCCTTGTTTATTTATTCATTTAAATTTTTTATTTAAATAAGAGTTGACAGTGGTCTGTAAAGTTTGAAAACGTACCGTTCACTCAGTCCGTACAGTCTATATATAGAAACTAAGCTGCAAAAACAGTCCATATTGAATTAATTGTTTTTGTCGCAAAAGCTAACACAGTTGCATGTATCGTCTATTCTGTCTACAGCACTTCAGCTCCACCCGTTAATGCTGAAGTTAAAAGGAGTGTTTCTGTGCTTTTAAATGAGCCACAATACAGGGCAGCCAGTCAGAACAGAGCTCATTTAGATATACCAGCCTTAAAGGCACAGTAACAAAAAGGCTGTTTAATTCTAGGGAATAAAGAAAGGCACGCAATCCCACGCACATACGTGGACCTCAGGTGAATAAATTACAAGAAAAATATAGGATATGGGCTCTTTAACAAGACAATAGATGGGAAGATGCATGATTCTATTTGAGTACCAACAAAACATTGGCTATGATTTAAAACAAAGCTGAGTGAGGGGCACTGAGGGACGCAATCATTCATTTAAGTTAGCAACTTATGTCTACAGATAGAAGACAGCAAATGTTACAAACACCAAAGATAAATGTTATGCAAGGAGAATTTTTTGTTGAGTTCTTTGCTCTAAAGAATGTAGTCTTGAAGAGCCTATTTCAGATGATTCTAAGATGATCTTAACACAAAGATACGTTTGCAAAGCTAGGCCCTGGTCAGTCCTCAGTCCATGGGGTTAATATATGGAAACGACACTGCACAATCAGCCCATTTTATTGTTTTTGTGATGTCATTGACATATATCCGCCTGTTCAACTTACAGCCCACCCATTCATGTTGAAGTTATAAGGAGTGTTTCAGCCTGAATGAGGCACAATACAGGACATCCTATCAGACCAGAGCTCATGTACATGCAATCATAGCCAGACATATTTCCACCCTTGCAGTTTTTCCAAAAAGTTGGGACACTGTGCAGAATGTAAATAAAAACAGATCATGTGCAAATCATTTAAACCCTATATTTAATTGAAAACAGTACAAGACAACATATCAAATGTTGAAACAAAGATTTTTTTTTTTTTGAAAATATATGCCCATTTTGAATTTGATGCCAGCAGCACATTTCAAGAAAGTTGGGACAGGAGCATGTTTACCACTGTGTGACACGTCTGAACTGCAGGCAGGCCAGTTTAGCACTCGGACCCTTTTACTACAGAGCCATGCTGTTGTAATATGTGCAGAATGTGGTTTGCATCATCTCGTTGAAATAAGCAAGGCCTTCTCTGAAAAAGATGTCATCTGGGTGGTAGCATTTGTTGCTCCTACTTGTATATATCATTCAGCATTAATGGTGCATTAAAGTCACCCTTGCCATATAACGCACCCCCCCATACCATCAAGGATGTTGGATTTTGATATGTGTGATAACAAGTCGAATGGTCCTTCTCAGAAGTGTTACTGAGCCCATGCAGTAATGTCCACAACAGAATCATGTTTTTAATTGTTTTAAATGTTTTAAGTTGCAGTGCTGCCTGAGGGCCCAAAGATCACGGCTATCCAGTATTAGTTTTCAGCCTTGTCTCTTGCATACAGAGATTTCTCTAGATTTTCTGATTTCTCTAGATTTTCTTTTAATGATATCATGTACCATAGATGACAAAATATCTAAGTTCTCTGCTATTTTATGTTGAGAAACGTTATTCTTGAATTGTTGCACTATTTGCATGCTTAGTCCTTCACAGAGTGGTGAACCCCTCCCCATCTTTACTTCTGAAAGACTCAGCTTCTCTGGGAGGCTCTTTTTATATCCAATCATGTGACTGACCTGTTGCCAGTTATCCTTATTAGTTATCCAGGTGGTTTTTAGCATTAAACAACTTTACCAGCCTTTTGTTGCCCCCGTCCCAACTTTTTTTAAAATGTGTTGCTGGCATCAAATTCAAAATGGCCATATATTTTTCAAAAACAACACAATTTCTCACTTTCAACATTTGACATGTTGTCTTTGTACTATTTCAATATAGAGTTTAAATTATTTGCCTATCGTTGCATTATGTTTTTATTTACATTTTGCACAGCATCCCACCAACGGTTTGTATTGTTAGTGAAATAAAGAATTGTGGAAAGCTACTTTTGACATTGTCAACAAGCAGTTGGTGAGTTATTTGGAAGAAAATCTGTAAGGGTGCCAGTATTTCCAGCCATGACTGTATATCAGTCTTAAAGACACATTAACAAAAAGCAGTTGGTTTAATTCTAAGGGATAAAGAAAGAATGGAAAATTGTCATGTAAAAATGAATTATAACATAGATAAAACCACTCAAACATCATAAGTGGAGCTCAGAGAAAAAATAAAATATAAGAAAACTGTTGGATATGGGACCCTTAAGTGGGAAATGGCAGCGAACACAGCAAATATTTATGCTCTTTGCCATTTCATCTACTCTTACATCCGTGCATCCTTTCCTATGTCCATTCTTTAGTCCATGATATTTTAGACTAGACCTCTGCAGCAGATCCATCCCATGCTGGCTTTCAGGCTGCATGTTGCACACTTGACAGTATCTTCATCAATAATTTGTTCATTGGGTTTCCCTGGTGCCCTTAAGTGGCTGTATAGATGCCATAAATGATGAAGTTGTGACAAAGCGCGCTACCCAGTCAGTCTGAGGAACAGCCAGAGGTCAGGATTATATTTCTTTCTGATTTATGGTTCAACATACGTCTGTCTCTCTTACTTAAGCCATGGCTTCCTGTTTTTGTTGCTCCTGGTGGCTAATCCTAGAGGCTTATTTTGAACAGATTAAACGATAACCATTGTTATCTGATTAGGGCTTTTAAATATGTAGGATAAGGCTTACACTGATGCTGCTGATCTTCATGTTTATGGGTAAAGCACATGGAGGTCTTTTGGGTTGAGGACAAAGTTTCTGTAGAATTTTTTATTTTTTTTTATTGTTAAAATAAAAAGCATGCAGAGTTGAGAACATGTGATGAAGATGAGGCTTCACTCATACTGTGCATAGCGCACAATTTTCTTCAGTGAGTTTTGCTTTGTGAGTAAGCTTTCCACTCTTAGTGAAGTAATATATGAAACGAGTTTGAACACGACAACAATATAATCAACAAAATAAAGCAGTATTTGCCAGTGCTTCCATTGATTTGCAAATTTTAAAAAATTAAAAAAGTAATTCCACTGATTTTTTTTACACTTCTGCATAGTTAATCATTAAGGTGTAAACAAAGTCATTCAAAGAGGTTGGATGGGAAATGTGCTAAAATTTACAGTCAGAATTGTTTACAGTGGTGGTCATAGGAACCAGACAGGCATCCATGCCTCTAAAAGGGTACTCAGTGAAAATTTCAGTTTTCCATTATGTTTATATGGCTGTCGGAAATGATAATATATCATTAATATATCATATACACACACACACACACACATCATGCGCTGTAAAGCATCACTCCGAACAACCACACACTGCCCTGCACGAGAGAGAGAGAGAGAGAGACAGGGCAGTGTGTGGTTGTTTGGAGTGATGCTTTACAGTACATGATTCTTCAAAGAATCATATTTATAAATGAGATTTAAGTTTAAAGAACC